AAAAAAAAAAAAAAAGAAGAGTATGTGTTCCTTTGTAGCTTTCAAATTTTATATCATTTAATCAAAAATAAATAAATTTTTTGATTAAAAAATTCAAAAATAATAAAAGATAACCTCCTATATATTATAGAAAAAAGGGAAGAAATGTGTGAAGGTATCAAGGAATTGCCTTAAAAATACAAAGATTTCTAAATGCCAAAAGAAAATTTAAAAAATAGAGCAAAGAAAACACATCACCTGGGCAGAAACACAGCAAATAATTATTTACACAGTAAAATTTTAACACAAAATAAATGGTAATGGGCTTAATCTATGAAATTATTTCTAATTTGGCTACAAAACAAGACCAACTATATTCTGTATGTAAGAAAAAGGCTAAAAATAAAGGAATAGGGAAATGAAAACAAAAGAAAACGAGTGCTGTGGTCTTTTTTGGGGAGGATGAGAGGAACAGGGTCTCACTCTCTCACCCAGGCTGGAGTGCAATGATACAGTGATGGCTCACTGCAGCCTCAACCTCCCAGGCTCAAGTGATCCTCCTACCTCAGCCTCCCAAATAGCTGGGACTATAGGCAAGCACAACTATGTCTGGCTGCGATTAGTTTTTGTATTTTTTTGTAGAGGTGGGGTTTCACCACTATATTGCCCAGGCTGATCTCGAACTCCTGGGCTCAAGTGATCCACCTGCCTCGGCCTCTCAAGGTGCTGGGATTATAGGCGTGAGCCATTGTGCCTGGACTGTGCTATGGTCTTAAATATCAAAGTAGAACTTAAGCCAAAATGCATCAAATATGAAGAAGTACATGTTTTAAAGTAAAAGTCACAACTACCAACAACGAGCACATTTGGAAGGAAAAAGAACAGGAAATGCAAGGAGAAACAAGCACACTAACGACAGGATGCTTTAACGCGTCAGTCTTAGAAGACAGACCAAGGTGGCCCAAATGTGAGTGAGGACATAGACAGTCTAAACAACAAAATCAATAAGGCAAAGTTTATGGATATATATTTAACTTTATACCCCCATAATAGAATTCAAGTGCAAATAGAAAGATCACAAAAAAAGATCATGTATGATGTCACTAAAAAGCATAAATTTCATAACACACTCTATGACTACAATGCAATATAATTCAGAATTAATAACAAATCAGAAAATAAAAGCACACTTAACACCAGAATTTTTTAAAAACATGTTTCTATTAAACAACTCTTGAATGAGAGGGAAATTACGAAGAAAAATTACAGAATTTAAATAAGTAAATTATAATTTAAATACAGGTTGAGCATCCCTAATCCCAAAATTTTGAATTTGGGCCAGGCATGGTGGCTCCTGCCTGTAATCCTAGCACTTTGGGAGGC